CTCAACGGCATCCTGCCCCCCCCACCCCTTCCCTTTTTAAATTATTATCATTTTAACTCCCGACTCAGGAGACAAAGCGTTTGCCGAGTTCCTGACCGACGAGATAAAAGAGGAGAGGAAGATCCAGAAGCACAAATCGCTGCCCAAGATGTCGGGCGGCTGGGAGCTGGAGGTCCACGGCACCGAGGCCAAGCTGCTGCGCAAGGTCGCCGGCGAGAAGTAAGTGCGGGCAGGGCCTGGCGCCGCCCGGCGCGCTGCCCCCGCCTGCCTCGCTCCTGCTGCTTCGTGCACTTCTTGTCTTCTGCAAAGGTTTGCGAGGGCTTCCCGCGCCAAAAAATAGGAGATCAGTCTAATAAAACAGCACGCTCGCGTGTGAGAGCGACTGGAGGAAGTCAGTTTTATGAGTGTGTGCGTCTTAAACTCTAAACTGGAATGATACCCCATGAGGGAAAGACAAAATAAACAAGAAAGCATAAAGTACTTTGAGTTTTGTTTCAGATTCCCTGTCTGTAACACTCTACCGCTAGAAAAGTTTCAAGTAAGAGATGCAGTAAGTCTTTTCTTTATTGTGTATATAATATTGTTTATGTCTCTTTTGAAGGATAACGGTTACATTCAACATCAACAACAGCATCCCGCCATCTGTGGAGGAAGAGGAGGAAGAAACGCGAGGGCAGCAGAAACCTGATGAGCAGGAGGTAAAGCTGGTCCCTATGCGCACGTCTGTGTGCACTTTCGTTATGGCTGTCGGCACGCAGCAAAGCTAGTGCTTTCCCCTTGTGCTTGTTCTCCCACTTGATGTTTGGGAACATTATGTTACATGATGTAGATTACTCTCTGTTGCCTGTTATTTGGCTGTGAACCCTGTTCTCTCTGCAGCAGTGAGTGTGAAAGGGTTCCGAGCAGAAATGAAAGGGACTAAAGTTATTGGACTTTACGGCTGCCCCTGGAACCTGCTAAAATGAAGAGCATTCCTGCTCTCAGCCCATTTGTGATCCCTGCTGTTGGGTGGGGAGGGAGTTGCAGCCTCCCCGAGTGTTCAGGTGGCCGCAGGTGCCTCCAGCTGCTGTTCCCCCCGTGACAGATGGAGAGCAGAGGAGCCCAGGGCGAGGCTGCAGGGCGCCCTGGCTGGGACAAGAGGCTCTCCAGAAGAGTGGCTGGGAGCAGCCTGTGTGCTGCCTGGTTGGGTTGCTGGGCTCTGCCCGCAGCACTTAGGCTGCAGTTCAGAACAGTCCTGTTTGAGCCTGCAATGCTGATGAGACTTTTTTTTTCTTATTTTTTTACGTAGCCTGATATTACATCGACTCCCAACTTTGTAGTGGAAGTAATAAAAGACGATACAAAACAGACCCTTGTTCTTGACTGCCATTATCCTGAGGATGAGGTGAGTACTGAACTGTAGCTTACTCTGGCCTGGGGCTTGCTGCACATCTCCTGCTCCACTGTAGTGCAGCTGTGCCATTTTTTTAATCTGTTTGTTACAGCCTGCTGGTTTTCTTAATCTGCAGGATCTGTATTCTCCTCTTATCTCTCTTTTTCAAAAATAATTAAAAAAAAGCTCTAAGAGCTTACAAGAATAATCTCTGGGAGATGTTTCCTTGCATTCCTCCAGTCTTGACCGTACTTTATGGATCAGCTGCTCGTAAGCTGTCTTGCTGAATTACAGAAACAAGGTCTGGGTTCCTTAACTGCTTGGCAAACTGAGACAGGTAAAAAAGAATGGCCCAGACAAGATACATTTAACACAACCTATAAATAACTTGCAAGCCTCACTGGTGCTGGGGTTTCACAAAGGTCAAAGAGCAGTAGGGAGTAGAAAAAAAGCGTCAGGGAATCAAATTGAGAACTTTGCTTCAGGGTGACGTTTTTGTGGATTATTTTGCAAATCTTACCAGATCGTTCATGCAGACACTCTGTATTGACAGAGGTTACACAGATGTCTGAGAACAGGCAGTTTTAGAATAGTGCAGAAGAAGAAATTTTTACAGCTTTCTAAATATCGGGTCATGGACACAGCAGGTTACTTCAAGACCTCTTTTGGGCTGTCTTGGGTTCGGGTTCATGTGCATGCTTATTGTCATGCGTTGCAAGAGACAAATGGCTTTAACTGGGCTTTTGCCTGCACTGTTGTGTTCCTCACTTCAGGGTGAAGTGGCTAAAGGTGCCCTGTAGTGGGGCTAAGCTTTGTCTTGCCTCTGTTTCCGTTTCAGGTTGGACAGGAGGGAGAGGACGAAAGTGATATTTTCACGATTCGAGAGGTCAGCTTTCAGCCCACGGGAGAATCGGACTGGAAAGAAACCAACTACACCCTCAATACAGATTCCCTTGACTGGGTAAGTGCTGCTAAATCTAACAAGGCCTTAGACTGCAGAGGGCACCTGAGCTCCTCTGGACTACCCTCTGCTCCTGAATCCAGTATGATTCCTGTTCCAGATGCCCGAGACTGGGATCTCCCCATGCTTGCCGTGTGGCAGTGCTTCTTTGTGCCTCAGGTTCATCCTCTCACAGACTGGGAGTTGTTACGTGGTCCCAGTTGTGCAGTGTTGGTTGTGTTAGTAGCAGTGAGAGGCCTCTGTATTGAAACCATTTCTATTTCAGGCTTTAGAAGCTTGTGAAGCTTTCTCCTAGCTGCAGTGCATTTTAGGGATGCTTTGACACGTGCTCAAGTATCAGTTTATCTTCAACATAACATGTAGTTTAATTTTTGTTAAGCTTTCCAGATAGATCTTCTTAGTGGTGACATAAAATTAGAAGAAACAAATCTGGACTCTGTTCAAGAATCTGTACTTAAGTCCCCAGTGCCAGACAAGAAGAAAGACTGGTCCTCCTAAGGAAGAAAAGCCCACCGCTTGGGGCATTTTAAAATCAACCCCTACTAGGCATGTTCCAGTCTATAAGTCTCCTGTTTGTTCCTTGCAGGCCCTGTACGATCACTTAATGGATTTCCTGGCTGATCGAGGCATAGACAACACATTTGCTGATGAGTTGATTGAGCTCAGCACTGCACTGGAGCACCAGGAGTACATTAAATTCCTTGAAGACCTTAAAAGCTTTGTCAAATGTCAATAGATAAGGCTAGGAAACTAATCTTCAAATGTGGGTATTCCACAGCAGTGGTCCAGCCAGCAATACCCCAGAATATCTTCACAACAGATGAGAGTAACTTCGAATTTAGGGATGAGAATTGTGGGAAAATGAGGATTCTCAAATATTTAGGGGAATTTTTATTTATGTCGCAGCCCAGATCAAGTTCTGTAACGTTGTCTGGAATTGCCTCATCCCACTTGAGTGTTTTTGTACAATTATGAATGAATGTGAAGAATAAAAATCTGTTCAACATCCCATTGCAAGCAGGTGCTTTTTCTCCTTGCTCTACCAGTGCACACCAAGAATGCTGCCATAAAAGGATTTCAGGGGTTTCCCTATGTCTTCGCCAGTGTTGGTGGTTACTACAGCTGCCAGAGGAGATGGTTCAGGAACAGTGTGCTTGGGCAGGGCAGAACTGTTCCAGCACCTTTAGGTGCCCAGAGCTGCCTGTCTGTAGGAAGAAGGACTCTGGCTGTGGTTCTTTCATTCCAGATACGCCAGGTTGGTTTTGTGGCAGGCCACAGGGTAAGACTGAAGTCTTTGCTGCTTTTGTGTGTGTCAGGCAGTTGAAAGCCTCTGAAACGGAGGCTTTGAGGAGCTGTTTTAAATAGGGACACGCTGCCCTAACATCTTAAAGCAGTATTAACACAGCTGCTATAGAAAATAGCCCAAGGAGCCTGGAACACTTCAGTTTCACCAGTCTTAATTCAAGGTTTGTGTATGCTCCTGTCCAAGACATTGCTGCGAGGCAGCAGCTGTGGATTTCTATATGATCTGGTGTCTCCAGTTGTTGCCTCAGGGCACAAGAAACCCAGAACATGCTCCCGCCCTGGTTAGGAACTCTGTGCCAGCTGGCTCTACTTTAAAGCTCTGCTTCCTCCTTTGGCTTGAGTGCATCTTTGAAAAATACTGAGATGAGACTGCATCTTTAAATGGCACTTATGTCGTGCACTTCTGCAATAATTTTGTCTTTTTATTGTAGAACGCTGCAAGGATCAGGTTTGGTGTTGTACAGGGTGCTGAAGGAAGTACATGTTTTTGAGGTTGGGCATTAAGCTACTTTATTTTTGGTTTCTATTACTGAAGGAGAAATACAGTTCTTGGGACTGTGTGCAGAGGAAGTAGCTGCGCTGACCAAGCTGAAAAGGGGAGGAGCAGGGTTTGTCCATCCTGCTGCAGCTTGGAGGGCAAGAATTCAAACCCAAGCACCTGCTCTCCCCATCCCATAGGCAGCCTCCCCTAGAGAGGTTTGAGTCAGCTTTGTCTCCCAGGAAAATCATCCAGCTCATGTTCCTCCTTGCTGTCCCTCTGCACATCTATGTGTTGTTAACCCAGGTATATTACAGGAATATTGATGTTTCCCAGTTGATTACAACCGTGCCTCAAAGCAGAGGATGTCACACACCAAGCAAACAGGAAGTGTGACAGGGGTGAGGAATAATATGTGCTAAAAGCAGGTGCATGCACGAGAAAGAAGTCACTTCTGACAGATATTAAATGCAAAATAACCGTATCTTTTCATAAGTTCTTCCAGGGAATTTGCTTTTGGCCTAGGTGAAGTGCACAACTGTGGTTAATGTTAAAAGGAGTCACCCGTTTTCTACAAGAGAGGGGAAGGATAAAGCAAGGCAGAAATGCTGTCAGTGAACACATGCATGAAAAGTAATGTGAACTGAGAAAGCACCGACGGACTGGTTACTAAAGAGACCTGGAGGCTGAAATTAACTAAGTGTATTTATTTCAAAATACTGCGTCATTAAAAGTGCAATTAAGGCAATACTACTGCCTTGTCAAATATGCTTTTGACACAGCAATTACAATAGTATACATAATAGCAGCTCTAGCTCAAGAAGTTCTTCCAGTGATAAAAACAGCAGCCAAATCATGTTACAGGAGAATCGTCCAGGAGTCACAGACCTTCACAAGAAGTAAGGTGAGTTAAACAAGCCATATTCATTTATAAAGCTATACTAATATTCAGAAGTGAAATGTTCTCTTTCTAGAACTGTAGCCACCAAATAGGTGCAGATAAAGAGAGAGCAGCTTTACTCAAGCAAAAAAATCTCCCTGCTAGCTTCAGTCTGAGCAAAGGAAACCACACGAGGTGGTTTCTCCAAGAGGGTTGAGTCTTGAGGCCTGAACTGAAACTTCACAGCTTTTCTTCAAGAAAAGCTACTCCACACAGATGGTCTACACAAGACTTAAAAGGATGCTTACTAAGGTTTAAGAAAAATAAGTTTGACAGGTCCTCAAAATTCCATAATCTAGCAGTTAAGATAAAAGGAGGAGCAGTGGAATTACTGTTTATGGGCACAGGCAGTCAAGAAAAGCTTGAGAGAAACAGCAACCCACAGCACTGAGGTCAGCGGGCAGCTGGTGTAGTCAAGAAGTCCTTCCACGTGAGACCCTTTCCAGAAACCTGGCCATTAGACTCACCGAACAGCTCATGAGAAGACTGGTTTCTTCTTCCATTCCACTGGTAACAGTAAACTCTGGATTGTGAAAGCACCTGTAACTGTGCTCTGTTATAGTGTTTTCTAGAAGGGACCGGAGCTTCTCTTCTGTCATATCCTGAGATAAATTGCATTACAAAAGAAGTCTTAGGCCTAAGTTACGCCATAGCTCAAAGCTGTCTCCTATTCAGGACAGTGCTGACCTTGCAGCACAATGTAGCTTACCTGAGTAGTGATATATAATCCACACTGGCACAACACCAGGTGATTCCTCACAGTCAGGTTATTCCTAGGAAGACAGGAGAAGGTCAACATCTTCACGACAACGCAGGAGCTCAGGTAGATCTTGGCAAAAGTTGTTAGATTTTGGAGCTCACTTTTCTATTTCATAGCAATACCCACAAACAGGGGCCTGTCTTTGGCTGTTGCTTTTGTTGGTGCCTGTAATCTTGTTGTAACGCTCAAGACAGAGGCAGCTGCACTTGCATAGCAGGGAAAAGACCCAAATGATCTTGGGCAGAACAATGGGAAAGAAGCCACTGTTCTCTTAATGAACGTTACCTAGAGCACCATGGACTCAGTGCTGTTCAAACCTGCAAGAAGCAGTGAAGAAACTTTGCTTTTGAGAACCTTTTGTCAAGCACCTCGTTCCAGCACCAAGGGCTTTCTTACTTTCTACACACAGGACAGATGATCTTGTCACTGGCCTCCAAGCCATCAAGCATGGCATTGAGACATTCTTCATCAAACTGAAGACTTCGCTCATACTCTTCTATGACTGACTGTTCTGCAACAATAAAAGAACAAGATACCCTTGGGCATCTGTTAGGAAATCAGGTACTACAGAAACATGCAAGAAGTTGCTCAGTGGACAAAGTTTGGGGCAGCCCTTAATTCTTGAACTTTCTTTGGCTCAGATTTTTACGCTTGAAGAAATGGTTCCTGTTAATCCAATCTCCCCTACAGCTCAAGCTTTAGCTGCTCTCACCTCCACAAATGTTAACACCTTCAACACCAACAAGCCAGAAACATTACGAGCTTATTTATAGAGGCTGCTGCAGTTCCCCAACATCACCGTGTTGTCTCCTAACTCTGTTAGCTTCTCACAGACTCTACAGTGCTACTCAAAGTGCCGCAAAGGGTCTCCGTGCACCAGACACTGCAGACACATTCAAGGAGGCTGTTCTGAAACTCCCACAATCTGGAGGAACTGAACGGCTTGGTCTCCCCTTGCTTGGATTACTAGAAAGCCAGAATCTGAAAAAGCATTTTGAGAGATTACCTTGCAAGACCAGTTCGTGCTGGATTTCTTCCAGTACTGCTAGTTCATCGGGATCCTCTACCATCTGAAAGGTGCATTAGTCAGTAATTCTCCCTCTCTGGCTACATTCTCACTAATTTTCCAGCACCTGCCTGAGCTGTTAACATAACATAAATCCGTAGCTTATTCTTTACCTGTCAAGTCTCCTTATTTGCAGAAACACGCATGCAGAGGGCAATGTAAACAATACAAAAAGACACAGAAAGGTAGTGGGGATGGGGTTGTGGCCGACTGAGAACTTGCCTGTTGAAAGGCTTTGCTGCCAGCCGTGGCGGGGAGCGCAGCCAGCGACACCAGAGCTGTGGAAACCGCCGCGCTGGCGGCAGCACCAAGGCAGCTCGGGGGCCCCAGGGCTGCGGCTCCCGCCGCGGTTTCACCCGGCCCCGCCACCCGCGAGGCCGCAGCCGCGAGAGGCGCCGTGGCGGCCGCCAGCCCCGCACTGACCTGCGCCAGCGGCTGCCACTCCAGCTCCATCACCTCGGGCACGAGCAGCGCGGCGCCGGCCCGGCCCGCCTGCCGGTACCGCTCGAGCAGCTTGGCGCGGCTGCGGCGCAGCCTCTCCACGCAGCGCTGCGGGGTGAAACAACGCTTGTAACGGCGGTGAACGCTGCCCGGTAACGGCGCCCCGGCCCAGCCCCCGCTCACCCGCCGGTAGGTCTCCTTCCAGGGCGGCGTCGCCGGCCCCTTGTACCGGGCGCGGTGCCGCCGCAGCGGCGGCGCCTCCATGGCCGCGCGGCCGCCGCCTCACCGCGCCGCGGGGCACGCCGGGAGCGCGGGGCACGCCGGGAGCTGTAGTCCCGGTGGCGGCGCGGGGCACGCCGGGAGCTGTAGTCCCGGCGCGATGGCGGCCGAGGCGGGCCCGGCGGAGCAGTGGCGCGCGGCGCTGCCGCAGCACGCGCTGTTCTGCCGCCTCCGCGAGCGCGGCGCCGCCGCCGCCCCGCGCCCGCCGCTCATCCGCAACCTGCTCTTCGGCCTCGATGGAGACCTCCTCCTGTGGGACGGCGAGAGCTGCGCGCTCCTCACCGTCGGCCTCCGCCGCCTCGGCGGCGCCGAGCCCGCCGCGCTGGGCCGCTACCAGGTGGGCGCGCGGAGGGGCCGCGGACCGGCGGGGCAGGGGGCGAAGGGGACCGTAACGGGCAGGGCCGCGGCTGGGAGCGGCCGTTAGCGGCGCTGGGGACCGTTACCGCGCGGGGAGGAGGTGCGGGGTGGGGGCGGAACGTTCCCGGGAACGGCGGGAATTGGTACCGGGAGACGCCAGGAATGGGGATGGGGGTCGGTACCGGGACGAGGAATGGATCATTATCCAAGTGATACCGGGGGCTGAACTGGGGCCAGACTGGGGGTGGCGGTTCCTGGGACACACCGGGACCGGGGGCCGGGGATCCCGGGATGTGGGTGAGCGTTGGCTCCCGGCAGGACGAGCGGACTGCTCCATGGGGCCCGCCTGGGTGCCAGCCCGCTGTGCAGACCAGTCGCAATAGCCACCCTGAGCACGGTGCTCCCGTGAGCGATTCCGCGGTCTCTAACTGCAAACCTGATTTTCAGACTCTTCTCTGCATAAACCCGCCCCTGTTCGAGGTCTACCAGACGCTGCTGAGCCCCACGCAGCACCATGTGGCCCTCATCGGCACCAAGGGGCTCATGGTGCTGGAGCTGCCCAAGCGCTGGGGAAAGAACTCGGAGTTCGAAGGCGGGAAATCTACCGTGAACTGCAGGTGCCTGGGCCCTGTCCTGCCCTCCTGCCGGGATACCGAGGGCATTGGCTTTATCAGGCAGTCACAAAAGCCTTTTAATTGCATTTCCCCCTCTTCTTGCCCCTGCCTCCCTCTGGAGGCGGTCGTAACCCGTTCTGGTTTTGTTTCGGGGCTGGGAGGGTGGTGGCTGTTGTTGTTGTGGTAGCACTGCATGCTTCTGCTCTGTATCACAGCACTGTTCCCATTGCGGAGAGGTTCTTCACGAGCTCGACGTCCCTGACGTTAAAACATGCTGCCTGGTATCCCTGTGAGACGTTAGAGCCCCATATCGTGCTGTTGACTTCAGATAACACTATAAGGTAAATCTGTTTATAGTGGATCATCAGCATTTTGTTTTGTAGTAGGCAGTCTGCTCTTTCGCGAGCGATTTGTGCGTTGCCATTCTTACTGGTTTTACCAAAAGAAAAAAAAATGTGTGTAAGAAATCTTAGGCTATTAATTACTAATCTTTCTGCATCAGCAGTGATATGTGCAACGCTGACTGTTGAATGAACATTGTTCCTGTTTCTTTTTTCTAGGATTTACAGTCTGAAGGTGCCTCAGACACCGATCAAAGTGATTGCTCTTTCCGATGCTGAAGAGGAGACTTTAATAATAAATAAAGGGTTTGTGTGGCTTCTTGATATGGTTTTGATAGAATGGTATCAAATATGCTTTTGATGAATGAGAAAATCTTCTCATGACTTGTTTATTTTTTCCTTCACTCCTGCACTTTAGCTGCACCTTTTTTTTTACTCCACCTTCCTTAGAGAAAAGACAAAAAAGGGAAGAGGAACAAACTGTGTAGTCCTCTGCTTGCTAACATTTAAAAATGTACATCATCCTTAACAACAGATAAATAGGGCTTTTTGAGAAGAATGATGAAAACAAGTGTCCTTGTTCTCCTTAAAAAGGAGAATTACAGGGGGCTGTGCTAGTGAAGCCACAGACCAAGACCAATATTACCCAGCAAATACCAGTAGGTCCCCTTGCGTCCTCTGAAGCTGGACTGGCTGGGGAGGGTATTTCAGAAATGGGGCAGATTAAGAAGGATGGTACCTGTAGGCCTTTGGCACTGCAAATAGGATGGCAAAGAACTGAATGACAGCTCTTGAGCTGTAATTTGTCTGAGAGCACATGCTGATGGACCTAGATAAATCCTCAGAGCCATTTCTGACTTCTGTTTCTGTTCTGACGTGTCCCAGGAGAGCCTATACGGCTTCGCTCGGAGAAACCGCGGTGGCCTTTGACTTCGGGCCCCTGGTGCCCGTCCCGAAGAACGTAGTTGGGCAGCGAGGGAGCGAAGAGGTGTTGGCCTATCCTCTGTACATCTTATATGAAAACGGGGAGACGTTCCTCACGTATATCAGCCTCGAACAGAGGTAGGCCTCACACATCCTCATGTTTCATGTCCGGGCTCTGTGAATACTTGGGTTTCAGAGGCATCCGTCAGCCTGGCTTGGATTTTGGAATGGATGCTGGACTCGTTTCGATCCGATTGCAAACTGTTCCATCTGCCTTCATGGCAGTGTTGATAGACAGACATCCAGGAATAGTATTGCTTCCTTTTTTGATCCAGAGGTGAAGAGTGCCGAAATTTAATAGAGCTCTAACCTGTTGCTTTTGTTTTTGCTTGTTTTTAATCATCCTTATTTTCTAAGTAATTCTCCAGCCAACTGTTGTAGGCAGCTCTGGAGAGCTCTGACCACATCTTCTTTATTTCAGTGCTGGAAATCTCAGCAAGCTGCTGGGCCCTTTGCCCATGCATCCTGCTGCGGAAGATAATTACGGCTACGATGCTTGTGCTGTCCTTTGCCTACCTTGTATTCCAAACATCTTGGTGATTGCCACTGAATCGGGAATGCTTTATCACTGCGTGGTGCTGGATGGAGAAGAGGATGATGAACAGGTAGCTTGTCACGTTCTTTCTGTACACTACTATACACATGCTCTTTAGTAATATATGCTTGGGCAGCCCTTGCCTATATTAAGTAACTCTTTTCCTTGAGGTTATTTTTGCTGGCATTTCTATTTAAAGGATGTCTCACTAAAGAGTTCCAATGTCCTTTACAGTCAGAAAAATCTTGGGACCCACGATCTGATCTTATTCCTTTGCTGTATGTGTTTGAATGTGTCGAGCTGGAGCTTGCACTGAAGCTGGCATCGGGGGATGAGGAAGAGCCTTTGGAGTCTGACTTCTCTTGCCCAATCAAACTACATCGAGGTAGGGTTCTCATTCAGCCACATGGCCGTTGCCTTTTAACTCCTTTATTTAATTCAGGATCAGATTGTTCACAGATTATCACTGGCCTCAGGCAGTGGTATTAGCATAAGCATTTGGCTGATGTCTTCACTAAAGCTAGGGAAAATCTGAGGAATAAAAGGGGAATTGTCACAAGCCAAGCTAGAGGTTGCTGAGACTTGCTCCCGCAGTAGGTGTGTGCATGCGGTGCCTCATGGCTCCACTCCTTCTGTTGTTCCCCTTTTTTTAAAAAAAAAAATACAATTCTTCTGCTAAAAGGAATAAGAGTAGCGTTTCATCCTCCTTCAAAAGAGAAATTGGCTTAAATCTTCTGTAATAATGTGTGTATTTCACCTAGATGGGTTTTTAGATTGTTTAATACTTGTAACGTTAATCTCGAGTGGCAGAATTTGACACATTTGACACATTTGCCAATTTGGGTTTGTGGGATGATGTTTCGTTTTCTGAGTTTGGTGGCTTTTCTTAATACATCTGCTATTTAAATTTCAGATCCTAAATGCCCCTCTAGATACCACTGCACACACGAAGCTGGTGTCCATAGCGTTGGGTTGACGTGGATCAATAAACTTCACAAATTCCTTGGGTCAGGTGAGTGCCAAGACTCCATCGCTTGCAGAGGGAAGTGGTTACCATCAGGACTGCTGTATTTTGGTATTAACAAGTTGGTGAATAATTAATTATAATTATATGTGGTTAATTCCTAGAACATGTATGTTTTGACTTGCAAAGGGGAGCTAATGCATTCTGACAAATCTGACTGTTTTGTAGATGAAGAAGACAAAGACAGTTTACAAGAGTTGGGAGCAGAACAGAAGTGCTTTGTTGAACATATTCTTTGTACAAAACCATTGCCGTGCAGGTAATAAAAACAAACACTTTCCCTTTCAAATCTCTGAGTTCCTGTGCAAAGTATTTGATATACCCCCTTCTGCTGCATTTTCTCTATGGAAAATAATAACCAAGTGTAACAAAATTCAAATAATCAATATGTGTGTCAGGATTTGTTACACAGTCAGTGTTGCAAGGTAAATTCCTCATTTACTGTCTGAAAATATCACTGAAGTAGCAGAAATTGTTTTCAGTACCCCAGTGCAACTCAGGGGCTTGATTTGGCTTTCTTATGCATCCGAACATTATTGCCGTGTTCCTTTTTGAGTCAGTAATTCATGTGTTTTCTTCCCACAGGCAGCCTGCTCCCATCAGAGGGTTTTGGATTGTCTCTGACATCTTGGGGCCCACAATGATCTGCATCACAAACACCTATGAGTGTATTACAAGACCGCTCTTGTACGTGGTTCTTAATTGGATTGAAATCCATGGTTTTAACTGACCTATGCAGGGGTGACTGTCTATCAAAATGGATTTCAGGATTTTATTTATTTATTTTTGGTCCTTTCCCTCGCACTTCTATACCTCTCATAAGGCACAGTCCTTTTTTTCTACTGAACATTCCCTCCCTGAGCTCTGAATTAGTCTCATACTAGTTATTTAATACAGATAAGGTGGTTTGGAGGAGGGAAGAATATATACATTATATATATATATATAATATATATATATATTAATCTTTATACTAAAGACTCTGGCTTTAGGGCATCATTGAACTAATTCTTGGGAGGCTTCTGACTTACTGCTATAATGCATTAATTCCACAGTGGCCGAGTTCCTTAACTGTTGTTTAAAGGGTGTTTTGGCTTAGACATTATGCAAGTTCTCTAGGGTTTGCTGTG